CCTCTACAGCTAAGATGCTGAACAACAGCTCGACCTGGAACTTGGCTGCTGTGAGTCGCCGGTGATGGCAGATGGGTTGCCATGGGCTACCATGTGTAGCTTGCAGCCAGCTGTGAGAGGCCATCCAGAAGCCAGCGACTGATCTGCCTTGCCCGGGAAGAGCACAATGATGGTGCCAACTTGGGCCAGTGAAGCAAGGTCCTCCACAACTAGACTGAAGAACAAAAGGATAGCAACTTGCCTGTTCCCCTTCCCCCAATTCCCCAATTCAAAAAAAAAATCTTTGGAAAAAACCCCACAAAAAACTATCACCAGAATTAGTACAGGATAAGTGAATGATAAAATATCATTATGTCATATGGTAGGAAAACATTCAAAACCCACATTAAATGCCAGATTCATAATGTAAAGGCAGGCTCTACTAAGTTTAGGAATCTGTTTTATGAGGAAAAGGTATAGAATAGCACATCAGATGTTCTCCTGCTTTCTGAAGGCTGTATCATGCTGATGAGCACAGGTATGAGGCATGAGGGAGACTAACTTGAGAGAGTTAACTCCAAGCCAGAGAGACTAACCTCAGTGGTTTTGTCAGGGACCTTGGGGAGGTTGCCTGAATATCAGCCTTCTGTGGGTTTTGGATGGTGCTGTGATGAAAGATTTTGCACAAAAATGTGGGGCCCAGTTGTGGCATGAAGTCTCTTGTAGAAGAGAGGCTGGGCAGGAGAATGGCTACTCATTATGACCACTGGTGAGTGTTAAGGACACATTTCTAGAGGACAAGACTGTTTTAGGGTCACCACCATCAACTGCAGCAATATCCTATGTCCTATTGCTATTGGGTTGTCAGAAAAGTCATGATGCATTTTTTCTATGTTTTTCATTGCAAAAATGCTTCATGACTTTTCTGACAACCCAATAGTTTATGACTCATCTTTAGCCAGAAACTCCTCGTTTCAGGACGTTATTGTACTTAGCTGTAGCAGTGGCCATAAATTTTGGTTGAGGTATAAGTAACATACAAATAAGTTACTTTATTTTATTTTCTTTCACACAGTGAGAGCTAACTCAGTGTAGACCTCTGTGAAAATCAAGGCATTTTTTGAATGGTCAGGGAATAAAAAATGGAATATATGTTCATGACCAGACTGATTATTTCCTAGTATTTCAGCTGATGGGAAAGCTCAGTTCATGGGGGTGGTAGAAGATTTGACATCTCTTTGAGGTTCTCAATGGAATGGAATCTCCTAAGTCTTTGTGAAAGAGCAATGCCATCCATCACTGTGCCCTGTCTCTCAACTTCAAATTATCCCTAATAGCATCTAATAAAATCCTGATGCAGATAAGGGTGATGAAGGGTCCAGGAAACCATAGCTTAAAAGGAAGAGATAAAGGCACTGGTGATACTTAAACTATTGGGCTTGGGAGGACACAAGTTAGATCTCTTCCAATTTATGGAGGTTGTTGAGTAACAACAAACTATATATCTTATATATTTTTCAGAAAGAAATGATGATGAAAACACAGCATTTCCTTAAAGCAAGGAAGGTGTTAATCAGCAAATTGCTCTCTTTTCTGAGATTGTTGGGGTAAATGCTCTGGTTGTGCTTTACTGCTTTACAGATGACTTCAAACCTAGTGGCTTTAAACAATAACTGTTTTATCATATCTCATAATTTGTTTGGTCAAGCATTTGGGCAAGGCTTGGCAGAGTGATTCTTTGGCTCTAAGTGGCATTGACTGAGTTCACTTGGTGGTATTCAGCTGGTGGATGGACTGGTCTGGGGGGCTCAAGATGGCTTCATTATCATGCCTAGTGCCTTGGTGGGGGTAGCTGGAAGGCTGAGCTCAGCAACAATGGTTGGCCAGAGCATTACATTAGCTTCTCCAGTATGGAAATCTCAAAGTAGCTGAGCCTTTAGATAGACGCTCAGGATTTCCATGGAGAGGATTTCAAGAAACAAATGAAAGCCACCAGTTTCCCAAGACTGGGCCTGAGAAGAGGTTTATTTCACTGCCTACTCCCACCCCAGCTTAATTTGCCATGATACATGGCTTCTTAGGCCTCTTTAAGTTCTTCATCAACAGTTTATAAATAATTATATTTACTCCTTTTATAAGTTGATGAAGTAAAATTATTTGGAAAAAACACCATATATATTCATCAATATCTATCTATTATCTATCATCTATCTCTCTATTATCTATCATCTATCTACCTACCTGCATATGTATAGTTTTGCATCTGTTGTTATTAAGGTTTGCTTGATATATCCCCCAGAATAACCTTGTGGAAATATAAGTATTTTTACTCCTCTATAGTTATTGAAGCTACAAACACAAACAAGGATATTTTTCAGAAGCATGGAGGCCTAGCACAGGCAGAAACTAGAACTCAGAGACTCTGCTGCTATCTGAGATATATTGCTTACCATTGCTAAAATATGATTTGTAGAGCCACGGTATTATTACACAGTGTATGGTCCCCACTATCAAAAGAGTTGGGGGCTCTAAGGTAGGTATAGTGAATAGGTTTCATTTTGAGTGCCAGCTCCAAATTATTTGGCAGTAGCTGCCTGGAGTACTGTGTTGAGAAGGGCGGTGAGGCCCTATCTGAGCTGCAATTGTTTAGTGATGTCTGCCATGAATATAGGCTCCTACATATTTGCCATATATTTTCCATCTCTGTTTTAAGACCACAAAAGGTGTTCATTATGACAGGTATTCATTATGATAGGTGTTTATTATGATAGGTATTTATGCTGGTTTGTCCACTGGTTCACCCTAATGATTCAAGGGATAATTCATGAGAAAGTTGCTACAGATATTTTGCAGTTCTAGAAGCTGGTTTTTTAAACTAAATATGTAAATATCCTCCTTTAGTGAATGTGGTTAAAATGTAGAGAAAGCAGGTAGAAAAGCTAACTGTGATATCAACACCTGTTAAAGTCATTTTCTTCAAAGGAGAAATGCGTGTCTTCCTAGCCAGGTGGGTTACCTACTGCTAATGAAGGGTGAGTTCTTGAGCAGGTGTGGTTAGTATTAGGTTGTCAGAAAAGTCATGACGCATTTTTGCAATGAAAAACATGGAAAAAATACGTCATGACTTTTCCGACAACCCAATAGTATGTTGTACTGAAAATTCAAACCGTTCACTACTGTGAAGATTCAAATACAATCAGATTAACTTTATTTTAAGCTTTGATTACATTCTAGTTAATAAGGATATACTACATTAAGCCAGTTAAACAGATTAGCAAAGTGCATTTAATTTTAAAATTGAATATTGGAAGGCATGGCAAATGCTGGGAGATTACTTAATAGAGTTAGGTATGATATTGCTATAGGGGACCAGCTATCCTCATGGATTCCTGGTGCTGAAGACTCAGCAAAAGTCTCAAAGGCTTAGAAATGTGGTTTTATAGGCTGGAGAATTCTATTCTGGCTCCCCCCGTCCCAGCTTTCTACCCACTGTTCATTTTTGTTTGTTAAGAATCACAACCTACTGACCTAAATCACACCCTAGGCATATCAATAGGTAATTCTGGCCATAAATCAGCCTTGCGAATAAATACCAGGTGGCCTTGTCTATTGGAACCTTGGACCACAGCACAAATGATGGCAGGTGTCCTTTGTCAAGGGTCTGCAGTAGCACTGGCTATTTGCAAGGTGGAGTCCACATTACCTTGCAGCAACCTGAGTGATGAGCTGTGCTCTCAACATGGGTGATGTGAAGGACAAGAGAGAATTAGTGGCTGCCAATCCTTCCACATATCTGGTCACTAAATCTGCCAGCTTCTCCGCATTTTTCAGCTTATTCTATCTCCAAAAATGGACCTGGGCCCACATCGTGGTGTGAAGATGATCCCAGAGAGACAAGTGAAGTATAACCACTAATTAAAGAGACTAATTCCTCCTGTCCTGAGTCAGCCTCACTGCTTTCTAGTACAGGCATACTTGTGGGGTTTTTTTTTTTAGTAAATTGAAGGCAAGCCCCTTCACCAGGTTATGACTTGCTTTATTGCTATATCCATTTTATTTTGGTGGTCTGGAACCGATCCTGCAATATCTTTGAGGTGTGCCTGTACTGCAGCCCAGAAAGGGTTAAAGTAAGGGCTATTGGTTCCTGCTGATCACGCCATGGTGGGAAACCTCCTTTAAATGTACCATAAAACTACATTATTTAATAGATCTGAGTATTACACCTGCTTCCTTATCTCCTCTTAGGTGATTAAGCTTCTCACAAATGCAATTTATTAATATGGGGCCACATCTTCTCACAAGGTAAATCTGTGAAATTTGGCAGGCAGTCGCTGTGCTGCAGGTGCAAGATGAAAGACCCTAGCTTTGCCAAGAAGACAAATGATGCTGTACTCAATTCCTGGGAAAAATATTCTGACACAGTGGGCAGATACTGCTTCTAAGAAAGGGGAGTAGAATTCTAGGGTCAGAATAATGCGCTTCCCTCACTTTTGGGGGTAACATACCCAGTTACTAGAAGTCTTGTTTTACATGAGGCAGGTATAAAGCAAATCCCCTTGCTAAATAAAGAAAGTCCTCTGACATTTGGAGCTGCAGCCACTTGCGATGATAAATGATGACTTTTACTCTTATGAGCTATGAGAGCTTAATGAGAGCTTAATTAAAGCTAATCCTCAGAATCCTTTGGAAGGTGGAGCAATTAAAAACCAACTTCCACACTGAATAGCCGGGTATGGAAAAGTATGTCTTTGAATACATGGCATCTCCACTCTGGGGCCCTCCCTATCGAGTCCTGTCTGGGTTTTCACACCTAAGTTAAAGCAAGAGCTGACTATTTTTGCATTAGAATTTCCTTAATCAAGACTACAAGAGGCCAAGTGCCCAGGTCTAGCCCAGTCTCCTGTGCATTTACGCAGAAGGTTGTCTTTGAATCTGCAAGTCCAGCTCGCCGTACACATGTCTCAGGGAGTCACTGGTCAGGCTGGCCATCAGCTTCCGACGGCCGGAGACCCAAGGCCGACACACTTCCTCCCACTGCACAGTGGAGTTGGGCCGGATTTCACTGAAGGGTGGAAAAGAGAGGAAAGGTTTTATTTTCTGGAGAGGCAGAGCCAGTTTCCTACCTTGATCAGGAAGCAGTGAGAACTCCTGTTCTCTTTCTCTCAGTTGATGGTGGTTAGAAGACTGGCTGATTCCACCAGTTACAATCCAAATGAGGCCCCTAATGAGGCTCTGCTAGAGCCTTCCAGCGATGATCCCTTGGATCATGGCTCTTTTGACTTGCATGCATCAGCATGTCCTTCAGTATATGTGGTCCATTCAGTGTGCAGTGGAGCTGGGCTGAGCCCCACCAGCCTTGTGTTAACTGAACTCTAGCTTGTCCCCAAGCCTCCACAGTAGCCTCATCAATGTGACTAATCTGCTTCTGCTCATTTTTTGGTGCTCTAACGCCCTCCTGGAACTAGCCTCCTCTCAGAGTCCCCCAGCTGCCTTTGCTGAGTTCTTGGCACTCTAATTAGTTCTTACCAAACCCCGTGGGACAGACCTTGTTCCCAGGCCCAAGATCATAGCCCTGCGTGCTGCCAACTGACTTTGAGTATCTGCATGCTTTGTAATTCATAATCCTGTTTCAATCACCAAATTGGGTCTTCTGCCCATGAACCATTCTGCTGTTTATTTGTTGTGATGTCCTCATCCATCCTGATAATGGGGCTAGCCTTTTGTGGTCCTGGAGTACTCTTCCTTTGAAGCTCATGCTCTAAGGTCTTCCTAAGCTTCATGGCTAAGCCCACTCCAGGGCATAACCAAGGTCAGTCAGGGTTGAGGTGCTTCACATATATCACCCCATTTGGGCCTCAGGAGGAGATTATATTTTATCTATTTGATAGTCCCTTGAGGTAGATACTATTTGACACATTTTAGAGTTAAGAAAAATGGAGGGTTAAACAAGGGAAGCAGATTTTCCAAGATCACAGAACTGTTAATAGGCAGAGATGAGATCTGAACCCAGGTTTATCCGATTCCCAAATCCATGCTCTTTCTACTACTGCCAACTGTATGACATGCTATATCCTATAAAAAAGATGACTTTTGATCACTGTGCTTGCTTTTGGTTTCTCAAGCAAGACAGCTCACCTTTTATTCTGTACTAAAGGCTTCCTGCAGGTATTGTTCATAGAGGATGCCTGGTCTTTGTTCTCTGATTGTCCACGAGGGCACATGCTACGTGGCTTAGCATGGGACCCTGGGCCAGTGATTTTCTCAGAAAGCATCAGGAAATGAATGGAGAGCCCATGGCTGTCTTGAAAAGAGAGAAAAGGGATCTATTTTCATGGGGTTATTGAGGCATAGCATGTGAGAATTGGAAAGGACTTAGAAATCACTTTGTCTGGCTGTCTCATTTTACAGATGAGGAAACTGAGATCCAAAGGGACCTATGGAATCGTCCATGGTCACAGAGCCTGATGGCCCAGATGCTGGAAGGAGATACACTGGGGGACATAATGAGGGTGCTTGTGTTCATGAAGAATATGTTGTGTGGAGAAATTCTGTGGATAGATCCACAGACTGCTGAGTGAGGGGTCAGGGGCTGGAGGAAGGCACTCCCGCTGGCACCATAGAGGGGCCTGAAGACCAAAGGAGCTCGTGGTGACACTATAGCTTCAGACTTGGGGTGGTTGGAGGGGTTGCAAGGAAGGAGCATTGTGAAGAAAAGCCTGGAGTGGTTCAAGGGCCTCAGCCATATGAGCCTCCACTTGCTTGTGGGGGCTGGAGCCATACAGCATCATTTAGGCAGAGCCAAAGTGAGGCAAGAAACACAGGGCCACATACCTGTGCTTGACCTATTCTATGTAAAGGTGGAATCCCAAGATTCCCTCAAATATCGCTAAAACAATATACATTTCAGCTGGCCATGGGTGTGTCCTCTGGGATAAAAAAGCCCCCAAATCCTAGAAATCCAGACACTAAATAAGAAATTCCTTTCTCTCCTGTATGTGTGGCCAGTGAATTGGGACAGGCATCGGAGGCCTTGGGGACTGCTCTCCTTGGGCTGCTTCAGACATTGACTTGGACACTAATAGTCTCAACGTCTCAATTTTGTATTTGCTAATGCTTTTCCTAATTTTTGTTCTTTTTTTTGTTTTTATATATATATAAATGATTAATTGTGGTTATATAAATTATTTGACTCAGTTCTATAAAAGCCAAACTATGTGAAAAGTACACACACATAACCTGTATATGTATTTTTCAAACTCAATAAATTGATTTTATTACTTAAAGTATGAAAATCACTGACCTTACCATGGGTTGTCTCACCTGTAAAAAGCAGACACTATGGGATATTGAGGAGGGTATGGGGAGGGGAGGGTGAGTATACATTTGTACTATGCTTAGAACTATGGCAAGATATGGTAAGTGCCAAGTGTCAGATATGTGTTGTTGTTATTGTTATTATCACTTTTATTATTGCCACCATTTTTGTGGTTATTGTTTGCTCTATCTGAATGTTCTACAAAATAATTTAGGAAAGCAAGTTCCTCCTGCCTGGAAGCTGTTCTCCATCCTTAATTTACAGTGACTAATTCAATATGAATATAGAATTTGAGATATTTATTTCTCAATAACTGTGCTATTTTACTCTGATCCATCCATTTTCTCTTCTCTGGATTCTGCAAGAGATCAATCAGAAACACTTTGCAAAATAGTCATCCTGATTAAGGATCTGGCCTGGGGCCATGTAATGCAGGTAACTACCTGAAACAGAAACTATAATACCCGAGCTTCACTTCGTTATTTGCACTCACTCCTAAACTCATCCACATAATAATATTCATATCTGTATCTCATACCTGTATACGTGTACACTCATCATGTATGAGTATAATACAAATATACTCATACATGAAGATACACATGCATGTCTAAGTAGGCATTTTCCCAAAGATAAATACATACAGAAGAAGGAAATACATTCTTTACCCATCTTGGTAAGTGGAGTAATACTGGAATAACCCTATTTGCCTGGGGATAGATGTTATGATAAATGATTCTCAGTAATATGCTGAGCCATCAGGATATGCTGGTCATTTATCATCTTGAACACATACAGGCAAATGGGATTATTATTATTACAATAAACTGCAACTATCTATGGTTTGTCCTCTGTGTGTCTAGCCCTCAGCTTTTGTCCTACTTGAAAAACTCAAAATTTAAACGAAAATCACAAAGTCGGAGAACTTTTCGCTTGAAATAACTCCCTGAATATGGCATTTTTTAAAGAGAAAAATGAATCTGGAAGATGAATTATTTGATGTTCTTGGAGTATCAAGTGCAGAAACTTGAAAGCTGAGAGTCTGTGGGAGCAGCATCTTTGAGCGTCTGAGACAGGTGGGAGGAGTGGGGGAAGGGCAAGAAGGTAAGCCATCTCGGAGTAGAGTTGGCTTGTATCCTGACCAAGGAACGAGACACGGCACCCACTGCCTTCCTTGTCCCCAGTTTAACTTCCTGCTCACCAGCTCCTGCTTCCAGGACTGGCAGGGGTGTAGGTGAACAGGAGGGGTGGTCACTTTCTCGACTATTCAAGATGTGTATCCTAGAAAGAAATACAGCCTTGTGAAGGATTCTGGTTCTACAGAATTGACCTTTTTAAGGGTCCAAGTTATTATATGGATCTGCCACTCCTAGATCAGATCTTGGGAGCAGAGGGTATACTGGAATGTTTCTAATTATTATATCTGGCAATATGGCTGTGGGCACTGGCTGGCTCAGGTTTTGGTTGTGAAGGTGTGTGTGCTGGAGTCAGGAGGAAACGGAGAAAGTAGTGCCCTCTCCAACCCTCCCAAGCCCACCCTGGATAATAGATATTTTCTATGTCAAGTTCGTTCCAATTTTTGATAGTCTCTAAAAAATAAAACTTCCCTTACTTTGGAGAGATCCACCCCTGGATCTAAATTCCCATGAGAGTCTGAGGACCTGGCATTCTATCTGTTACCCATCTTCCATATACCAATATGTTGAAGTAACTGCTAATAATACCTTAACGCAGAGTATGGGTGGGACATTTGACTAGTATTCATGCAGGGATTGGCCTCTTTCATCCTTTCATTCTCATTAACAATAAACAATGCACCTAGACACTCAACCTCCTTTGAGCCCTATACCTCCGAAATGGTGGGTCAGTTTACTGTGTGAGAATTAATCTTTCTTCTAACACAGACAGTGTTTCTTTTCATGCATTGGCTTTTGATCAAGGTGGCATTCTTGGCACAGCCAAGATGTAAAGGTAGCAGGAGATTCCAGTACCCTCAGATGATGCTTGTGGGGTTACTGTTTGAAAAGGAAAAATTGGATACAGCAGGGGGCTGTTTTCAAGAAGAAACATGTTTCACTTTGCCTGAGCGATTCTTGCATCTGATTTGAGTGGGAAGGTGAGAGAATGGGTGAGTGAGACTATCGTTTCTGACGAAAGCAGGACTATTGCTGCTGACCTCTCCCTCTAGCTGGGGTTGATTTCTAATTTAATTCTTTTATTTCCCTCTGCAACTTTCCTATTAGCACAGGAAGGTTGTTATGTTCTATACTTCCACTTTTTTTTTAAAGCACTCAAATTATTTTCTCTTATTGCATCCACCAGCATCAAGCATCTCTTAGAAGCTGTGAGTACTATAATGTGAAAGAAATGCAGAGAGGCCTTACTGGGCAAATTGGTTTTAAAAGGCGCCCCGGAAGGGCTGCAGGAAGCCTTGCACTCATCCCACAGATTACAGAGCAGGGTAGCTTCTGTAGAGGACATCGGGGAAATTCCTAACATGTCTGGTCATCAGGCAGCTTCCTAAGCCCTCCACCTCCCTTTCTATGCCTTAGAAGGTCACCCCACAGGAAATTTGCTAGATTGATTGATGCTGACAGGGACTTATTTGTGGTAGAATGAAAGTAATAAACCTCAGGATTGGGCTTCATTGTGGGTGTCACAGCCTAAGAGGAGCACAGACAAACTAGAGTATATGGAAGAGAGAGGGAGCTAAACCATATTAGAGGTGAGAGGAATAAAGTCTGGGTAGGTGTAGAGAAGGCTCAGGGAAGATGTGACAGTTGTTTGCAAACATTTGCAAGCCATCAGATGGAAGAGAGATGGGCCTTATTCTGTGTATAGGTCTAGAGCACAGAATTGGTAGGATCAAAGGGTAGAATTGTTTTCAAATAATCAGAGCTACTTGACCTTTGAGTGGTCTGTCTTGTTGAGTGACTGTCTTTGTCAGGAGCAGACACAGAAGCTGAGAACTGTATGGCACAATCTGATGGTGCCAGGTGTGAAAGATGCAGAGTTTCATTCATGTTATTACAGAGCCAGGGGTAGTCATTGGTCTCCGGACTAGGGGACTAAGCACAGAACTCTTCAGGCTTACCTTTATTCTACTGAAAAAACAGTTCTAGAGAGTGCTTGGGTTGGAGAAATCTGGGAGGTAAGAGTTGGAAAGAAAGGATCCATGGAAAAGGACATTTTCACCATAATATCTGACACATAGCAGCTACTCAATAAGTATTAGAAGAATTGATACACGGGGAAGTAGCATGGCAAAATGCTTGAGACTTGGGTTGTGGACTCAGTCACTCTTGAGACTGAATCTTGGTGCTGCTCTTAGAAGCTGTGCGCTTTGGGGAAACCAGTAGACCTCTCAAAGGCTCAACTTCCTTTGCTACTGAAGGGAAATAATAACAGTACCCACCACATTTGGGTGGCTTTAAGGGTGAAATGATGGAAGTGCCAGTTAAACCAACCCTATTTTTACCCTTTGCCCCACAGTCATGCCAACAAAGAGGTTCCAGTTTCTGAGACATTTTCACTGGGGACTAAATGTAAGTTTGGAAAAGACAGAGAGCAATTACCTTCCCACAGCTCCCAGCACCTTCCCACAGCCCCCCACCCCAGCACATACCGGAACATCTTCCTCGTTGGCTTTATCACTCCAGGACCATCCAGGCGTATCCAAACGTTTTGCAGAGTTTCCTTCAAAGGATTGGTGAACTCAACTGTCACAACCATGTCAGAACCAACCATCTTACTGCCACGGACCTAAGAAATGAATTGGGGCAAAATGCAGCTCATTAGCAGCACATAAAACCTCTCTCTGCTCTCCTGTGTCCTTAACTACCTTCACTTTTGCTTCTGTTTCACAGTATAATTATTTTTTGGCAATGATACCAGTGCGATGAGGATAGCTTATTGCTTTGACGGGGGATACCTATTGAGAAAAAGATGGAAGCTTACTAATTAGAATCACACTCTCTTCCTCATTATAAAAACCACCCTAATTAGAGCTCAGGTTAATAGCCTGGCTACTGGCTGCTCTTTGTCAGCAGGAAGTGGAAGTACATTTGGTGTAGCAAGAGATTTCCATGGTACCGGCGGCCAGGCGAACTCTGCTTCTGGATAGGGCTAAGTTTCCCGCCAGGACATGGGGGATTCCTGAGTTCAGGAGGAAAAATGTGCTCCCGGGGCCTGTGCCTTAGAAACACAGTGAAGAAATGTGTCCAAAGAGGGAGTCTGCATTGTTGAACTTGAAGACGAGGAGGCTGGACACTAAAATAGACAAGAGACCTCCTCTTCGGCTACGACGTCTGAGTCCAGGAGGGTGTGAGGCAATTTGCTGATGAGTATATTCATCACAAACCTCAAAAGTATTAGGTATCTGGCAGGAGACGCCAGGGTGAGACACCAGCTTCAACGCTTACTAGCAGTAAGGCCACTTGGGTGACTTACTCAACCTTTCTGAGACTCAGTTTCGTTTCCTTGTCTTTGAAACTTACTGACATTTCTAGGGGGTGCTCTATGTAGAATGCTGTTATTAGCAGTAGTTCTTATGCTGTGTTTACTCTGTGCCAGCACTGCGCCACACGCTGGAACTATATGCTTCCCCAACACCCATACCACGTGCTGGAAAATGGCCAGGTGACTGTAGCATTTGGTTGTTTGTTTAGGGCCTATGTGTCCCAAGTAGATGGATCTGTATAAACTCCAAGTAGCTTGGGAACAAGATAATAATAAAAGTTCTTCCTCGTAACAAAGGGATAGAATGAGATAATATGTATAAGCAGCTAGCACACTGCATGGCACCTGCCAAGTATTAATACATTATAGCCCATACTTTTAAAGTAGCAATGCTTAGGGTAGTTGGTTTCATTCACCTTATATTTTGGCCCATTTTCTACTCCAAATTCTATCCAGTGCTCAGGAAATATTTGTTAAATTAGGTTGACTGCTTAAAAAAGGAATTTAATGGTTCTTTGAGCTTTCTATATAACAACCCAGACATTATAATACCTTATTTCTTTAAGCAGTGTATAGTATAGGAAAACTCATGTGGAATGAGCCTTTCTTATGAATAGAGGGGAGTGGGGAGGACACTGCCTGGAGAAGAAGACTCTCACTGACTCTACCATCGAGAATAAAACGTTATGACTTTATTCTTTAAGGTGTGGGTTGTGACTAACTCTAGATCTATGGGATTCTTAAAATCTGTAAGGAAAATGAAAATTGTGGCCAATTCCCCATGTTTATTACATTCAAATGCCAATCTCCTGATGTGGGATATATGGAGAGTGGGTTCAGAGGAAGCGGGATGAAGCAGATGCTGATCACAATGGTGACTATAGCAGATGTCACCTAAAGAGCATGGATTGTGTGCCAAGCATGTGTTCAGCACTTTAGCCAGTGGTCCTCAGCCCAGCACGCACAATAGAATCAGCTGGGGAACTTCAAAATTGCAGAGGTCTAGGCCAACCCCAAAGAATTACATTAGAATCTCAGGTGTGGAGCCTATAATATGTCTATTTTAAGTACCCCTGTTGATTTCTAAGGATCAACTCAGTAAACTCCCCTCCTCTCCTCCAGTTGAAAACCACTGATCCAGACAAAACATTTGGAAGACAGACTTAGGTTTTCACTTTCTTCCCAGATATCCTGACTCTATCATAGATGTTGGAGGTATAGAAGTGCAATATGAGAATACTTTACATGATACCCTGGGTTTAATTCTCAAGTGTATCCAAAATATTTTTCCTAAGTTGAAAAAAAAATTTCAGAATACTTTTGGATTTTTTAAAAGTACAAGATAAAGGTAACAGTTACAAAAACTTTCTAACTTGGAGAAAGTGGGGCTGCTTCAGACACACTAATGATAAAAGTATTTGCTCTAATCAGTTTAATTTTGTGGGGAAAATATTTTGGAGCCATCTGCCTTCTTCATGGCATGCTTTTGCAAGTATGGGCACAAGCCCTTACAAGAAATCTGATAATAGCTACTGACCCTTCCTCCACATTGACATATATACACAGCAAAAAATATGAGCCATACACAGCTCGCATGTAGTTGCAGGGGATACATTACAGACCCATGTCATCTATCCGTGGCCCTCTGGGGACCAGGGGCTCCAGGTTGAGAATCATTTCCATACTGGTAGGCTAGCTCTACAAGAAGATCCCTGTGCTGTGGAAAGCCAAGTGCACCCTCCCAGGTCACTGATGAAAGCGCTAGGGGAAATTAGGTATTTGAAAAGTTGGCCTATGTGTATGGGCCCTCATGTGTAGGTTTTAGATCTGATTTGATTAGAAGATTAAGTCTTCTCAGATAATATCACATGTCATGCTTAATCAGTTTGCTTCCAGAGATTATCTCTATAATTACCTGCTGGCATGGGTATATAAATACTGCCCAGCCTTCCCTGATGCTGCAGCAGGGAGGAGGCTGCAGACGGGTGGGGAACTGAAAGAAGAGGGCTCTTTCAGATTGTATAGTGTTTCTTTTGCAATTAACAAAGACTCAGTGTCACTTTTCTGATATTTGTCTCTTGTACCCAAATTTAAACTTCCTTTGCCTGACTGCTGAGATGATAATGAGGCTTAGAGCTCAAACAAAACCAAATATAAAAGCCTGCCCAACATTTAACATCATGATTTTCTGCTTAGAAACTTAAGTGGAGATGTTTTCCTCCATTCTTTTAAGGAAAATGGAGTGTACACATAGTGTTTCCATATCACGCATTGATTTGAGTGATGTGCCATGCTATGATCTGTGAAATGCTGAAAATGATGACTATTGTGGGAAAAAGGTCTGTTCAAATCTAATTTTTTAGGGCATCTGCACTGCTTTTCTTCAATGCTGTAAAAATAATTCCATATCAACATAATTATACATCTGATTTTCTTGCTCTCATAAAACATTAAGTAAAGGGAGCCTTTAGCAATCCTGAGATGGTTAGATCAAGAAGAAACTTTTATGTGTAGTTACTTTAGAGAAGAGTAGCTATTATTCAGACCAGAGTAGAGGAGAAGGCATGTATCATTCATGGTGACATTAAGTTATTTTCCACGTTTGATCCCCTGATTTAAAAAAAAATTTCCATTTAAAATGTCTGTTTTAAAAAATTGACAAAATATGATGCTCTTTAAAGTTAAACATCATTCACCAATATTGACATACTGAGTTCTTGTCTTCTATGCTAATTCATGATAATAAGCAACTATTCTAATTCTTTGGTAAACAAGAAAGTTTTTCTCTCTCTCTCACTTTTGGGAAGAAATTACTTTTTGGAAAATCACAGGATTTCTTCCATGGAGTATATGCTTTACAATATACATAACTATATTCAAAATAGAAACTGAAACAAAGGAAAAAGTTTGAAAAAGAATGAATTTAGTTGGCAATATGATTCATATTATTCATCACATAGCCCTTACTTGCTGTGCTTTCAATAATGTATTACAGGTATTACTGGAAGATGACTTGTTTCCTCCTCCTCAGCCTATGATCACTGCTGATAATAAGCAATTGCTTGCTTGCAAACTGTTCACCAGCACCAGCACCACCATTGCTATTAGCTAACACACTTAGGCTGGCGTTTACTAAACAATGCTAATGGCTTAAGATAGTCAGGCAGTGTTCTAAGTCTGCACTATCCAATGTGGTAGCCACTAGTCACATGTAGTTATTGAAATTAATTAAATTGAAAATTCAGTTCCTTAGTTGCACTAGCCACATTTCAAGTACTTAATAACTACATGTGGGTTGTGGCTATCATTTTGGACAGCACAGATTTAGAATGTTTCCATAATCATAGAAAGTTCTATTGAACAATGCTGTTAATTGATTTATATACATTTACTCATTTAATTCTCACAACCATATAAGGTAAATACTATTTTACAGATTAGGAAATGGGCACAGAGAAGATAAATAACTTGTTCAAGTTCACACAGGTAGTAAGTAGGGAAAGTGAGACTTGAATGCTGACAGCCTGGTGCCAGAGTCATTGCTTAACCATACCCCTAGACTGACTCTGATTAGTATTAATAATAATAGTAACTTACAGATCAGAAGATTCAAATATGGCAGAATAAGTAAATGTGCTTGCCACCTCCCATGACCACATTAAAATTACAACTAAATTATAGAACAATCAACCACCAAGAACCATCTGAAGGCTAGTTGAACAGAACTCCTATAACTAAGGATATAAAGAAGAGGCCATGTACAGACTGGTAGGAGGGGCAGAGACACAAAACAGGCTGGCTCCACACTCACAGGTAATGGTTCAGCATTTGAATAGTTGTTATCTCAGCAGTGGAGGTCCCCCCTGAGGAGTGAGTGGTACCAGCCCCACACTGAGTTCCTCATCCCAGGGGTCCAGTGCCAGTGCTGGGAATAGGAGTCCCCACAACCCCTGGCTATGAAAATCAGCAAGTATTCTGCCCATTCAGGTAAGATCGAAGGTGGCTGGAAACACAGACATCCTCTTAAAAGTCCTGTGCACAGATTCATTCTCTTGCAGTTACTCACCCTGGGCTCCAGTGAAGGGGCAGAAACTTGAGAGGTGCCAGAGACATACAAGGTAGAACTAAGTTGTGTGAGTTTGGGGTGAGGGCTAGAGCAACAGCCTCGATTATCCCTGTGTGGAGCCCACCTCATGTGTATCCTACAGTCAGGTACCACCTTTCCTGTGTTGAGCCCTCTCCCACATGGCCAAATCCGAAACTGCATTGGCCTGATGAACTCTGTACACCCCACCTCGGTGACT